ATCTCTTCTGATCTTGCATACCATGTGAAATCCTTTCTGGAGCTGTCCAGCTTGCTGCCCAATTAAGTGTTAGCGACATCACTTGCCCAACTTAGTACCTACTTTATTCTATTATGAAAAACAACTTCCTAACTAATCATGTCCACGTGGATTGCAATTAAGGCTTAATTTTTTCGCTTCCACATAGATCCAGACTGAGAAAGTTGCCAAAGGTGGGCGTGATTTTCACCCCATCTACTGTCTATCCAATCTCACGTAACTTAACAGTAGATTTCAATTTAAAATCCAAAATGGTATTATTTCTCCCAAGTTAAAGACTAATTAAAAAATAATAATTAAGTTGGATGGACATGCATTCTTTGATTCAAAGAGATTGGTACTGTAATATTCCGACACTTGTTTACAGAAGTGAGAAAGCATATTACGCGGTTTTTTACATACGAACAGGCCAATTAAAAGGCAGGTTGGAGTTCAACGCTATCCAGTAAAATTGCATCGCCACACAAGTGACCGTTCCTCATACTTTCAGTCAAGCCCGAAGTTGTACTTGGGCAGCTGACATGATTCAAAGGCATATATACCGAAAAGGGTTAAGAAGAAGAAGCACCTGATGCACTCCGTAATAGTTTGTTTGTGCGGACACCTGTTGTTTGGTGGAATCTTGCGACTCGTCACGTTCGTGAACGCGCGGGCTGGACTTCGGGCCAAGCTCAGGCTTAATCCCTTCTTCTGCCCCCAGGATACACGTATCTAGCTCTGCTTAATGACTTCTCCTAACTGGAGGAAAGGCTTATGACGCTACACACCCCTTTAACAATATGAAGGACAAAAAACAGCTGGTGTTCAATATGCTGAATAGTTAACAATTACCAACGTAGTTGAATGAAGTTTGCTAGTCCCATTTAGAGCCAAAAAAAATAACAATCATCGGCGTTGGCTAAAAAGATGCAATATAAAAGAGCCACCGCTAACGTCAAAGCACTTCCATTATCTGCTTCATGTTTCACTTACTTGCTTATAATACCGTCTTAATTTAGTTGACTTTTGTAGGTGCGCTGTAACGAGTCAATACTTGGGTCAAATGTGTGCGTAAGCAAAATTACGCCGAAAAATATGGAATAGCCTAACATTGTCTTAACGACTCGTTGCTTAGTAAGACGACTAAGTTATACGTTGTGGTTTGCTAAATTTAGACTGAAAAGAGAGATAATCAGTTGAGTAATGCTTAAAACTTTAGCCGGTTCAGAAGCGTATAAAGCATATAAACTTTTTAAGTTACTGAGAAAAATACAATTCCGAAGTCGCAGAATCACTGGTGCGTTACTCCTACTTTGCCTCGCACCATGACACCAAATATATTCCATGTGTTGTTTTACCATTCTACTAGTGTGTCGTAGCTTTGAGTAAAGTAGAATGATCCTGTAGTATGATTTTCGGCTTAGTGAGTATGCGCGTGTAGGTATGGTGTTGGTGTGTGCCACTGTGATCCTTTTTATTAAATTCCTCCCCACATTAGGTTAACAAATTATCATATATTTGCGTTATATCCTTTCGAATAGGGCAGATCCAAGCAATTGCTGGAATTTATTATCCTGCTTATGTGACTGTCACTACCCATGATTTCCGATCTCTTTCTAGCCTTCATCACACCTCATTGCACTCTTCTTCTTCTATTCACTGCAAGGCGTTCCCTATGGGCTCCAATCACGATTTCTTCCGCTAATCCTTCGCTCTCATGGTTCCTCTCTTACCTCTCTTGGTTTCTACAAGCTTCTCTTTCTTCCTTGGGTCTTCAAGGGTGTCTACGCTCCTTTTATCGACAGCCACAGCACACGCCGACGCTGGCTTCAGTTCTGCACCACGGGTCTTCTTCTCTGCTGCGCCTTCCTTTCCACCTTTCCTGATGAGCAACTAGTTTCATCTACTTGGATTTTACCCTGCTGCCTCTTCATCATCAATTTCTGCGCGGCCACTCTTGATATTGCTGTGGACTCACTAGCCATTGGTATGTAGAGGATCAAGCCACTCTCAGGGGAATGATCGTTTTTTCGTCCAAATAATTGAATTCATTGGTAATTTTTTAAACAACCCGGATATTTTAGGCTACGAGTGAAGGATTCGTTCCATTGGTCAAATATAACAATCCATAGAATCGGGAAAGCTTCTTAAAGGCATTCTTCCACCACAGGTATGCTCAGTCATTCAGAACTCTCTTGCGGCAACGCAGCTCAGGTGGTGGGATACAAATTTGGTGCAGTAGTGGGTGGTGGACTCCTCTCTTCATTCTTCCCTTTGACTGTCGTGTTTGGAGCTCTTTGTGGAGTCTACACTATGGGGCTGTGGGTCGCAACCTACTACAAGAGATTTAATGAGTTTGAGAAGGTTCAAAATATGGCTGATGATGAAGGTACGAGATTTGAATGTATATTGCGCAATTTGTTTCCTATGTGTGGAGTTTTTGTGCTTCTCATGCATTTTTTCATGCAAATTGAAGCATACTTAAAATTTATTGCCAAGAGGTATACATCTCTTCTAAATTTGTGATATACATTGTTATTAGTTCAGATTGGGATTGGGAGGAATAATCTATACCTAAAGTACATTTTCAGCTTATTTTTGTTCTCTTTCTTTATTGTCAAATAAACTTATTGAATTCCCAACAGATTTGCTGCATTCAGGTAACAGATAGGATCATCTACAGTATTTGTCATAGGTGAAGTTAATGTTGATCACTTAGGGTCACTTCCTCTTCGCAACGGTGCTTCGTGGTATCGTTTGACTATTGAATAGTTAGGGTCCACAGTACATGTAAATTTTTGAACTAATAACTTCTCGAGTTAGGAAAGCTAAAGCGAATTTGAACGTGGTTGCTGTCCAAGTAAACACCAGTCAGATTTTCTAAAAAACTGGATGCTTGCGAGCAACAGAATTTCTTTGACACAATTACTTAAAGCATTTATTACAGTTCCTTATTAACGCTTGCTTGTGAAACCAATTTTACGAGCAATTAGAAGACGGTCAGGGCTACATCGGTAACGTTGCATCCATGTTAACTCTAGGACGTTACGACTTAGCGTAATTGCTTCTTCTTCAGTATCTTCTAGTGATTTTCAATCTGAGTTAACCCGGCCTTGTCTCTACTAATGCTAAAGATACTGCTCTAACCGCAATAACTACGTAGGGTCATGTTTCTTTCTCCACTGATTAGGCTGCAAGGGAGGAGACAAACGAGGCTATGGGGAGGTACTATGGATGGCTCTATTTGAGTCACCATCCACACCGGGTCTTGTCGTCCTCTTATTGTCGTACAAACTGGGCGAAATGGGGGCCATGAATATGTTGCCATTGATGCTTCTAGACCACGGCATGTCTGTGCCCGTTGTGGGTTTCTGGACCGGTGTTGTTGGCCAAGCATTCTCTATTGCTGGCTCGTCCTTCGCCTCGACCATAGTGCGACGCTTTGGGTAAATCTGACTCCCTACTACATAATGCCAAGTAGCGACCATTAATGGTAGCTTAGGCTCGGTTAGGTATTGGAGTAGTACTGATGGTTAAACAATTTTGCCTTATGTCCAAGAGGTTTGCGTTTACTCTATTGGTTGTCGATCGTGTTTGACATGATACGGTCGAGTCTGTAATGTTTTGTTCACAACCTTACCTATGCTATCATTGCTTTCAAAAATGCCTAGTTGGCGTCGTAATGTCGTACCATTTAATAGCGAATTTCTTTGATAATTTCGAGTGATTTATTTTGAGTTGTGATTTCACTCGGTATTTGTACGTCGGTT